AAAATTGCAGTCATTGGTACGTCGCAGTCATTTTCCCTCACCAGTGGAGAACACCCAGCTCGGAGAGATCACCGGCTGGCTGGACTTTTCCAGCATATGTGACTTGCTGCTCTTCTTCATTAGCAGATATCAACAGCAATCAGCATGTCATTTTTGTGGCTTCAGACCACCAGGCTTGCACACCAAAGGAACCAGAAGGTTCCTACCTAATAAGAAGTGACATTTTGTTCACTTTGACCTAATAGTCAGAGATATGTCCTTAAATTGGACTCAAAATATGCAGAGCTGCAAAGAAGAAACCGCAAGCAAAAGGTACTCTGTTGCTACTGCAGTCACGTTTTTAGACCTTGTAGTTTACCTACTTCTGAGCTGTGGGACCCACAAGTCATGTCACGTGTTGGAGGAAATCCTGTCCAGGGACAAGGCAGTCCCACTCACTCTCCCAGCTCGCACAGGTGGCAGCTCTCTGCTGAAGTCATACTAAAGCAGTATTTTTAACATGACTTGAAAGGACTGCCAGCTCTTCTGCTGCTGAAAATGGGGCTATTTTTAGCAATTAGCTGTATTCAGATGTTCCTTTCATGATTTGCACAGGCAGCAAATGGTTTAGTAGATTACCAGAAAGGATCAGATATTCCCCTGGATAAAAGCAGTGTTTACCATTTTTAACACAGATTAAAATCTTCACACTTCACAGTACAAAGTGACCCTGAGGCAGGGTCGGAAAGGGATTTAACCTTGGGGCATCCTGTTAACATTTGTTTGCCCCCATTCTGAGCAGAACTTGACTATTCATCTGTCTTACCTAGTTCATGATAGCGCTTTGCATTACTATAGCTTCTTTCAGCTCACAATCTCAGACCTTCCCCTGAAACATCATGGAGGTGGACAAGATACTCAGTAGGTGAGTGTGATCTGTTCCCATCTGGCAAACTCTTACTGTTGAATGTAGTCCTCGATAAAATCCATTTCAGCTTCCTGACATGTGGCAGTCTGTGCCTTCCCATGAACTATATTGTGTTGTTAATAATAACCAATTAATATTCCCAGGATTCACAAAAACACACTTAAGGGGAGTTCCCAGGGAGGCACAGGGCTGCAGTACTGGCTCTAGTCTCAGATTAACACAGCAAATTTTGACATAAGGCTTGGTACTGCAGTACGAGGGTTGCAGTGGCAGCCAGAGCCAGCTTTCTACTTGCAGTAGTCAAAGCTTCCTCCTGTTTCCATAGGCAAAAGACAGAGGAAGGGGCTGACGATAAGTATCTGGCATTTTGCAGGTCAGGCTGTTATTTCATTGGCCTTTCCAGAAGGCACAAGTGTCTGTCTGTCTGCAGCAGTATTACCATAAATCGGCAGATGAAGAACTCTCTAAGACTCAGTTTTTGGAGTTTTAGAAAGCAGGCATTCTTTATTGTGGCGCCGGGTGCAAGGTGGAATTTCCACAAATCAAGCACACCTATGGCTAGATCACCGTTACATTTATACACAAAAATTATAAGGTAGTACACTCCCAGTTACAATGATTGGTTAGTGATTTACATATAATTATAATATCGGTTATGTCATTCTCTTCTGTTACTACGCTTGCGCGGGGGAAGGGTCTTCACCTGGGCAAGGGTCTTCTTGACCTGTGGGTGTGTTTTTTAGTATTATAATGAAGGCAGTTCACTTCAGGACACCTTAAAAGTAGGTTCTGTTGCCAAGTTGGCCAACTAGATCTCTACCTTGCCAGGTTGTCAAATAATTCATCCCATAAACAATAGAACCTCGAGGCTCTGGTTATGGTTGAGAGAGTCCAGAGAATAGAGAATAGGGACTTCAAGCAACACAGCCTCAAATAAGAAGTAACACAGCAACCTATACATAACGCTACCATAAGGGCTAACTTATTAAAATCAAAATGTTCTTATAGTTGATTATTTCATAACCTAAAGATTCAGTAAAACTTAAGATCATCTTCAACATTTCCCCCCTTTGAAAGTTTTGAAAATCATTTCAATACTTTCATTTTAATATTTATTTTAGTGCTGTTACAATTATTACATCTCAGTGATCTTAGTGGGAGTTTCTGAAACTGTATCTAATTCATCCTGTTGTCTAGTCACTGCTTGGATGATCATTCGGTTGAATGCGGTTTTACTATTTATCTGTCTTTTCAAATAGTAATAAATCAGACTGACTATTAAAACGATTATTGAAATAATTAGTACTGTGTGAATCAATGATTTTACCTATGAACTCAAATTCCATCCTAGTCCTTTGAAGATTTTATCTATCCATGTTTCCTGCATGTCTTGTTGAAGCTCTCGAGTATCTTCTTCTGCTTTCTTTAATAAATCGAGGTCATGTTCCACATCTTGAGTTACATTCGGAATGTTTATGCAACAATGATCAATTCTATCTTTCAAGTATCCACAAACTCCATGCTCTTTTAACAAGAGCATATCCAAAGCCATCCTATTTTGTAAGGCCATCCTTGATGTTGCCTGCAATTGTACATTCAAATCCTTAAATCCTTTTCTAGTTGCATTCGCTATTTTCTCCACTTGCCCCGTCAATTGGTATATCCACTCTCTATTTCTATATACTCCTAATGGAGTCAATAAAGACTCCAAAGCCCAACCAACTTTCACTCCCGACTCAGGTTCATTCCATTCTTCATCTATTTCTGATCTCTTTACTCGTTCCAGCTTTAAGTTTTCCAGTGCCCCTTTAAAAGGAGCATTTTTCCAAATTGGACATAGAGTTGGCATACCCAATGTTATTTGCCTTACCTTATCATCTACAGACAAATGAGTCGTCCAAGTTCCATCACTCATCACCCACACTAGGTGTCCTGGGCTTCGAATTACAGATCTTTTATAACTGAATATTGTCCCTCTCTTAGGCATGTAATCCTCGGTTAATTGGAGATCATTTTTAAGACCTCTACATAAACATCCATATTTTAGGGCAGCAGCTAAAGGAGGAATATCCTGAATTGCCATATCAATGGTATTACAATTATATAACCTTTCACATTTCCACCAAGACACTGTATTTTCTTTTTCTCGTGTTGTGCTACCCTTATCATTTACGTTTGGCCAAACTGCATGGATCATTCCATCCCACGTAAAACACCAGGACGCCTTAGCCATGTACTGATATTGAGATAAGATGGCCATAGTCCAAACAGAGTCCCAATTTGCCTCATTCTTCTGTGTCTGACTTGTCTTATTGCATTTCCATTCCATTATCATTTGACTCACATTTTTCTTGGTTTGTTCATCATAGGAACAATACCCCATATCTGATGTACTAAAAGAAAAGAAAGATGACTGTGGTCTAGTAAAAACAGAGTTCAGTAATTTTTCACAGTCGGCTTGATAACCCATAAATTTCCATTGTCTCCGAATGGTCTTAATCTGTTCCTTCCATTCTACCACTGGTTTTGATTCACAATGTGTTGTTTCATTTTTCTTTACTTTTGTTAGATTCATAGTTAAAATTCCCCATGGGATTGATTCCCCTACTGCTCTAGGAATTGGTAAACAGGCAGTAATTTGTGATACGTTTTGCAAATTGGCAAATTCTTTAATCAATCCTAGCACTAAATTTTCTTCTTGTGTTTTCTTTGGGAGTTGTATTAATTGATGTGTTTCTATTTGTCTCTTGTATCTAAATTTAATTTCCTTTCTTTTCCATCCTCTTTCTGACTCTCCCATCATCTTCTCAGGATCTAGATCAGGAATTTGAGTAGAATTTCCCCTTAATCTCCATGAGTTCTCATATTTCATCATGTTTCCAATTGATTCTGTCCCTTCTAGAAAATTGACTCCCACTAAGATCCAAATCAGTATCCATATCAATATCCATTCCCATTTCTGAAAAGAATGTACAATATTAAACATATTTCAGAGTCAGTTTTGAAGTCTTATTATCCCTATTGATGATTTTCCAGGATGGTGGAGCTTTCTTCACCCTGGTGTAGTGTATCCACGCTTCTGATTCAGCTATCTTGATGGCAGTGAAGGTAATCAACAGTACTTGAAATGGCCCTTTCCAACGTTCCTGAAGTGGTTCAGAAGTCCATGTTTTCACGTAAACATAGTCTCCCGGTTGGAAATCATGTACTGGATTTTCCAAGGACAGGGGTCTGTTCCATACAACTGTACTCCGAAGTGCAGTCAAAGTTTTTCCTAGGGAAAGTAGATATTTATATAGATCTTGTTCTCCTTTAATGTGAGCATTCAAATTTGGTTCCGGGGACTCATATGGTTTTCCGTATAATAGCTCATACGGACTAATTGAGGTCCCATTCTTAGGCTGTACCCGAATTCGCAACAGAGCCAATGGGAGTGCCTGAGGCCATTTTAGATTGGTTTCTTGACAAATTTTACTGATTTGTCTTTTTAATGTTTGATTCATTCTTTCTACTTTACCACTAGATTGTGGTCTCCAAGGTGTATGTAAATTCCAAGTTATTCCCAACATTTTACAAACACCCTGTACCACCTCTGCAACAAAATGTGGACCTCTATCTGAAGACATCCCGATCGGTACTCCAAATCTCGGGATAATTTCTTGTAATAGCCACTTAATTACTTCCTTTGCTTGATTGGTCCGGCAGGGAAAAGCTTCAGGCCATCCTGTAAAAGTATCAACCCCTACCAAAATGTATCGATAACCTTTTTGGCGAGGTAATTCCGAAAAATCAATTTGCCAATAATCTCCTGGTACCACTCCAGATTTTAATGTTCCCATTTGAACCCTTCTTTTTATCACTGGGTTATTTCTCAAACATATTTCACATTTTGCCGTTACCATTTTAGCCATTTCTAACATTTTTACCGATACTATTTGTTTCTTTAAAGATGTCACCAATGCTTCTGCTCCCCAATGACACTCTTTATGTTTGGTTTGTATTATTTCTTTCATCATTATTGGTGGGACTACTACTTGGCCTTGCGATGTTATCCACTATCCTGCCAGATTCTTTTTTGCATCTAATAACTTACCTAATTTCTCGTCTTCCTCTGAATATTTAGGTTTCTCCCTTGGCAGAGTAATGGTTCTAATAGGGATCAATGTCATTTGAAAGGCGTCTCTTTTTGCAATTTTTCTTGCTGTCCTATCTGCCAATTTATTTCCTATAATTTCTTTAGTGTTTCCCAATTGATGTGCTTTACAGTGCATGATTGCCACCTTAATCGGTTTTTGGACTGCTTGTATTAATTTTAAAATTTCTTCTTTGTATTTAATATTTGTCCCCTGTGAGGATAATAATCCTCTTTCTTTCCATAGAACTCCATGAATATGTACCACACTAAAAGCGTACTTTGAATCAGTCCAAATGTTCACTTTCTTCCCTTCGCTTAACTCTAGTGCTCTCATCAAAGCTATCAGTTCTGCCTTTTGGGCTGAAGTTGTGCAGGGTAAAGCATTTGCTTCTACAACAGAATTCTCAGTAGTCACCGCATATCCTGCGTATCGGATCCCATCTTTCACAAAACTACTACCGTCTGTGTATAACTCCCAATCAGGATCTTCCAAAGGATTATCTTTTAAGTCCTCTCGACTGGAATAAACATGTTCAATAGTCACCAAACAGTCATGTTCTATTTGTCCTTCTTCCTGTACAGAGTTTAAAAAGACTGCAGGGTTAATCAAGTTAGTAGTTTTCAGAATGACATCATCCTGTTCTGTCAAAATCACTTGATACTTCATCATTCTGCTAGGGGATAACCAATGGCCCCCCTTTTGCTCTAAAACAGTGATTACCATATGAGGTACATATACTGTTATTGTCCTTCCCAAAGTTAATTTCCGGGCTTCTTGTATTAACATCACTGTAGCGGAAGTTTAGCATGCCATTAGTCACTTACTGAGGATCTGTTGTGGCAAGGAACCTCTCAACCTCGAGGAGTAACCTTGAGAGGCGTCCCTACTCAAGGGGCGATCCCGACATACTGGATCGAGATGCCCGCTGCCGTGGAGGAGAACTCAAAGGGCTCTTGGGCTGTTGTCCCACAAGGGGGTCCGGTACCCAGTGTGCAATAAGCCAGCCTTACACACAGAGCCGAGATATTTATTTATCTCATGGGTGCTAGGTGGTAATTCCACAAAGCTAGCACCCCACACAAAAGAACTACAGCGTATTTATCTTGTTACAGGATTAGCAAAGACCCGCCTAAGTTCATGCTCATTGGCTAGTTATGTTCAAATTAGCCTCGCTTGCCGAGTAAATTAGCATGCAGGCTCCTTGCAGGTGTGGGGGGGCAAGTCTTTCCAGTCTTGAATTGAGTCGGTGGTCGCGATCTCCCCCTGCCGCCTTTAGCTTTCCCCTAGTTACCGCAGTTTTTTGCTGACTTCTTGTTTCTTTGGCAAGCATCTAGCCGCCGATGCCTTCTAGGGCAGGATGTTCCCCTTTTATCAGTCTTTTAGTTCTTCTTCAAGGGCCTAGTCTTTGTGAGGCATGCATTGTTTATACAAGGTAATCAGGCTAGTACAATGAAGACCGACACTCTAGGTATCAACCCAAACATAGGGCTACAACCTCGCAACTTCTGCCCTTCCTGTTTTCTCCCCCATCCCACTGGGGAGGGGGGGGCGAGCAAGTGTGTGGGGCTGAGGTGACTACAGGGGATAATCCACAACACTAACAAACACCAAAACTGTTCAGCCATTATTAGCTGATGAGCTGTTAAGAACCTACAGGCGCAGCCTTGAGGAGGGTCAGGAAACAGCCTCAAGTCGCGCCAGGGGAGGTTTAGATTGGATATTAGGAAAAATTTCTTCACTGAAAGGGTTGTCAAGCATTGCAACAGGCTGCCCAGGGAAGTGGTTGAGTCACCTTCCCTGGAGGTATTTAAAAGACGTGTAGATGTGGCACTTAGGGACATGGTTTAGCGGTGGACTTGGCAGTGTTGGGTTTACAGTTGCACTCGATGATCTTAAAGGTCTTTTCCAACCTAAACGATTCGATTCTATTCTATGAGGATTATGGAGAGGTGGGGGTGGCCTGTGAGACCACGCACAAGTCATTAACACATGGTTAGGGGAAGGGTCGAAGGTGGGGACAGCAGAGGGGAGGGGAGGGACACGGGGTGGAAAATGGAGAGGAGGGTGAGTAGAAAGGGTGAGCCTCATGTCATCAGTGGCCAGTCAGTATTTCTGCCTGACAGCCCTGTGCCTGCTCACCACAGTGTATCCTAGCTTATGATATCATTTCTATGTGTCCACCTGGGTGGACAGAATTTCATTCTCTGTCCCAGGTCCAGATGCCAGCAAATGGAGAAGAGGCCACAGGTCCAGGGCTCATAGCTCCGTGCGTCAGTGTTACCGTAAATGGGCAGATGAAGAACTCTCTAAGACTCAATTTTGGAGTTTTAGAAAGCAGGCATTCTTTATTACGGCGCCGGGTGCAAGGTGGAATTTCCACAAATCAAGCACACCTATGGCTAGATCACCGTTACATTTATACACAAAAATTATAAGGTAGTACACTCCCAGTTACAATGATTGGTTAGTGATTTACATATAATTATAATATCGGTTATGTCATTCTCTTCTGTTACTACGCTTGCGCGGGGGAAGGGTCTTCACCTGGGCAAGGGTCTTCTTGACCTGTGGGTGTGTTTTTTAGTATTATAATGAAGGCAGTTCACTTCAGGACACCTTAAAAGTAGGTTCTGTTGCCAAGTTGGCCAACTAGATCTCTACCTTGCCAGGTTGTCAAATAATTCATCCCATAAACAATAGAACCTCGAGGCTCTGGTTATGGTTTAGAGAGTCCAGAGAATAGAGAATAGGGACTTCAAGCAACACAGCCTCAAATAAGAAGTAACACAGCAACCTATACATAACGCTACCATAAGGGCTAACTTATTAAAATCAAAATGTTCTTATAGTTGATTATTTCATAACCTAAAGATTCAGTAAAGCTTAAGATCATCTTCAACAGTAGCAGCAGAGCCTGCCGTAGCCTGTGCCGTGGGTTAGTCAATGTGTGCTTTGGGGTCTGGGAGAGCATCTACTGCTGTGAGTGTGGTGGCAGAGAGCAGGGCCAGGGTAGCTGGCAAGCGGTTTCTGAACACATGGTCATCTCTCAGAGTTCAGTGTGTCATATTATACGTGGCACTTCACTAAAATTAACGCTGGTTTCTTAAACAGGTCTGGCATCAGCAATCAGGCTGCCATGGGGTGGCAGGAGATGGCTGTGATCTAGCTATTACATAGACTGTCATGTAATACGAACAGTGCCTCAGATGGCCCTGATTCTGCAAATATTTGAATCGTTATTGCGCAAAGCATATGCTTATACTTAAAGTCTGCAGTCAAGGAGTTTAAGCAGAGACACAAAATTAAACAAGTGTTATACAGATTTGTTATAATTGTAAGCCCTCCGTGTGCCTCAGAGGGCCTGGCATTCAGTATTGCAAAGCAATTTTAATGCCTCTTGCTTGATCTGTAAAGCTGGGGAATTATTCAGCTGGGGAAAAATTCAAAACATTGATTGCATGCAATTGGCAGGTTTCCCTGACTTCTGGACAGGAGCGAGCCACAGGCCTGCCAGAGTCAGTGTTTCTTTGAATGGAGTATGTGGGTGCTGGAGGCAACTCTCCCATTACTCAGAGCCCTTCAGGAACGACTGGGTGGAAAAAGCTCCTTTCAGACATAAAACCACCTATGCAATCGGATAGCAGAGCTACACCAAGACAAATCCTTTCCTATGTATGGCAGGGAAGGGAGGCATGGTCTGCCTTTTCTTTCTCTTGACAAGCATCTCTGTGAGTCAAGATTTCCTCTGCAAGCCAATATGGAAACTTTAATGCCTGACATTAAATATTCCTTTTTAAAGCTGAAAAAAAAAAAGGCAATTAGAGCCTCTTGCAAAGGAAAGAAAAAAGTGTATTAGCTAAAGCAGTGACATTTTCTTTTGATAGAAAGCTGGTGTTTCCAAGAGTCTGAGATAAAGGCTAATAGGCGGTAATCAAAGAACACAGGAACCAGTCCTTATGTAATACCTCTCCCGTCTGTTTGGCACAAATCCATGTGATCTTCACTATTAAGCAATGGAATTTAGCTTCATCCCACAAAAAAAATCTCTTGGAGTACATGAGAAGAATTGTGTCCAGGCCACAAGCTTTCTGTCTGGGCTCACAGGCACATTTCCCCACAGTCAAGCTACATTCAGATGTAGAGTTTGTTTTGGCCTACTGTAAAATTAGTCACTAGCCATAAATATAAATCTCAGAGCTTGAGGTGATCTCAGAGCTTGAGGAGGTACTAGAGCCTGAGCCCCAACCTCAAATTTGTCTCTAAGATGTGGGGAAAGTGCCACTCTGCAGCCCAGCTCTGGATCTTAGGTTGTCCTTCATCCTTCTCTTTCTCTTTTCTCTATGTTCCTATTCTGTTCCTTTTTATCCTCCTCCTAGTTCTCCTCTTACTTATCTGCTAACATTTTTTTCTGTAGCATCTTATTCTTTCACTAGTTCATATTGCCAATACTAAAACACCTATTTCTAAAAGTCAGAGGTGACAATTTCTTACGCCAAAAAGCATTGCATCTAACATAGGAGGAACGCTGTATTAGAACTGAGTTTTCTGTACGAGATTCACTAGATGGAGAAGTAGAATCTCTTGGTTTGGTGCCAGCAGTGACGTTTTGATTGCACTTGTTACGTGCAAATAGATAAAGTGCAGAGCACAGCATCTGTAGGTAGTGCATCATGGAAGGGGGTCAGGTTCACAAAGTGAAACCACTTCTTGAGCTAAGTGGGCTCCATACTCCACCTGGGTGTAAAGAAATGTTTGCAGTGTGACCCAGTGCCCTGTTGGTGGGGGAAGAGCTCAGGCACCAGCTGCCCTCCTATGTCACAGACAGTAAGCAGAGACCTGGGGGTGGAGGGCTAATTACCAGCATCCTTAACCCCTTCAAGCCTGGCAGCCACCTCTTTTTCAGTCAAGGCACGGTATTGACACTTGTCTTTTCCAGTCAGAGCTCTGCTGCTGCCCAGCAAATCAGGCCTTGAAGAATTGTTTGGTTGATTTAGTGCAGCAGAGTGTGCAAAACAGCAGCTTCTCCCAGGGCTGTGACTTGTTATGAAACTTGTGTGTGTATTATTTTCTTCACTTTGCATATGTAAAGAGGAAGCAGACTTTACAGTCATGGTGTGCTGAAATGCAGAGAGGGTAAAGTCTTGTAACTGTGCACCAGCCACCGTGACTTGAAGTGGGGGTATCGGTGAAGCCAAACTTTTGGTGGGACAGGATGAGAACAAAGATCCAAGCTCTAACATACCTACCCCAGAGGTAGAAACAACAGAGAGCCATTCATCCACACCCTGTAGAAAAGCAAGACTGGCCAGCTGTGAAGAACCAGAGAGAAATGGCCTGCCAGAGTCTTTCCTTGGCAACGCATCTGCTGCGCTTGTGCAGGGCCTGGGGGATGGCTGGCTGCGGAGCCTTACAGCATGTCTTGTGCTCCAAGATCTCTGCCCATACTCTGAATGCTGGGGGGCCGAGGCCGATATGTGTGTGCCAATAGCTACTTTGAACAAGCAAACACCAAGAGATTTATTCCTTTGGCTGCTTTGCTCATCCCGGTGCGTGTTACACAGAGCCTCAGTGTCCTGTGCCGTAAGACTGTGCATTACAAAATACTTTCAGTGCAGAGCCTACCTCGTGAACTTGATCCAGCCAGCAGGATGCACCTGCTCCCCGTGAAG